ATAAGCATAAATTAAATACAATTGATTGGGAAAATATAAATATATACGGAAAATAAATAAGATAATTAAAGACGTTATAAGGAAAATTTATATTATTTTTTTTACAACAATAAGACAAATAAAAATAATAAGAATAAGGAAAACTAGAAGAAAATATTGGATTAAAAATAACACGTAGGGAAAAAATACGAAAATTGGTTGTGTTTGTTATCGTACTCAAGGGGTTTATCGTACTCAGGGGGTTGGTCATCATCGTCACTCAAGGTTTTTGTTGTACTCAAAGGGGACTCATCCATCCGTAATTCTCTCATAGATAACAAACCACAAGTTGTATTTGAGTCCAACTATTTTTGTGTGTGTGTGTGTGTGTGTGTGTGTGTGTGTGTGTGTGTGTGTGTGTCAAGTACAACTGTTGGCACAAAAGACGTGATTGCCAAGTTGTGAAGTGTGGAGAGTGGCACCTTCCTGTCACAGTGCCAGAGGGGGGGGAGGGGGGTGGTGTTAGGGGAGGCTGACCCGTGCTGACCTGACCTGGACTTAGTTGACCTGGTGGACAAACCAAGACAGCGGTGGAGGAGGAGGAGGAGGAGGCTGACGGTGGTTCAAGATGAAGATGGTGGTTCAAGCGACCTGAGATTATTACCTTTTATGGCCACTCTCGTGTTTTGCATAATTTGGGCGGGCGGGCCAGGCAGACGACCCCCGCCCGCTACAACTGGCCATAATGGGTTTTAAAAATATTGCGGCATGTCAGGTACCAGTTTATTGCTTACCGATGGCTGTAACGCTCAAGTTTATGGGCAATATAGAGCGTAGAGTAGACGTCATATGGAGACACCCTCCTCCCTCCCTTCCCCGCTCCTTAACTCCTCCTTAGTCCGTGCTCACACACTCTTCGTCACCACACTCTCACTCTTGTTCATGAAGCAACAAATAAGGTACTTAACACATATTTAAATTAATCAGATGTTGGCGGGATATTCTGGCGGGATACTCTGGCGGGATATTGTTTTTAGCGGTAACGCGCGGCGGTGTCTGTCGGGCGGGCGGGTGGTCCAGGCGGCGTAGCGGCAACGGCGATGTAGCGGCGGCGGTGAAGAAGCCGTGAGAGACACACGCCGCCACATCTGAATATGCAAAGTAAGACGACAGTTGAGCTGACTTTGGCAGTAGGGCCGTCGACCCTTACCCCCCCCCCGTAGTCTTCTGGGATCGGTGCTGCACCCGTCCCGCCCCGTCTCGCCCCGTCCACCGCCCCGTCCTGCCCCGACCCTCCACCATGTTGGAATAATCGCCGCCAGAATTTTAAGCAGAGGTATTTGAGGAGGTTAGATCAGACAGTGTGGTTTATGGCGCTACTTTATGAGGCCATTATTGATTGAGAATAGATAGATAAATTGTTTACTTTCTCATGACCCCTTCGCTGAATACTGAGTTACCCTGACCCACGCTCACCCATGCTCTCCCTCGCTCACCCACGCTCTACCTCGCTCACCCACGCTCACCTAAGCTCAAGCACACTCACCCACGCTCACCCAGGCTCAAGCACACTCACCCAGGCTCACTCACACTCACCCAGGCTCACCCACACTCACCCAGGCTCACCCACACTCACCCAGGCTCACCCACACTCACCCAGGCTCACCCACACTCACCCAGGCTCACCCACACTCACCCAGGCTCACCCACACTCACCCAGGCTCACCCATGCTCACCCAGGCTCACCCATGCTCACCCATACTGACCCAAGCTGACCCAGACTCATCCACACTGATCTACACTCACCCATGCTCACCCAGACTCGCCTACACTGATCCAGGCTCACCCATACTGACCCACGCTCCCCCACACTAACCCACACTGACCCATACTGGCACATACTGACTTACTCTGACCCGTAATCACCCTGCTTGTTACCTATCACACGCTCTCACCTACTCCTGAGACACACACACACACACACACACACACACACACATACACACATACACACACACACACTCATTAGCGTTGACAAGTGGAGAGGAGGTGTGTGTGTGTGTGTGTGTGGCACTTCACTCCGACTCCTATCACCACTCTTCACTCCCTTTCTCCCTCAACCCTTCTACCTCTTTCTCCCTCACCTCTTCTCCCCTCACCCCCTTCTCCCCCCTCCTCCCTTTTCCCTCCCACCCTCATCCCCACCTTACCTCTCCCCCCTTACCTCATCCCCCCTTACCTCATCCCCCCTTACCTCATCCCCCTTACACTCATCCCCACACTCAACTTTCAACGGGGGATGGGGAGAGGTCCTCCTTCCCCTCAACGTCTAATTTGAACCACTTCAGGTGTCTCGGGGGGAGGAGGAGTGAGAGGGGAGGGAGTAGAGGGAGGAGGAGGGAAGGGTTGTCCTCCACTTAACTAAACGCTGTCATAAAGAGGGGAGGAGGAAGGGGGTGGGTAGGAAGGGGGTGGTAGGAGGGAGTGGATTGATAGGAGGGAGTGGGGTAATGGGAGGTTAGTGAAGGTGGGAGAGGGGGGGTGGGAGAATGGGTTGGTAGGAGACAGAGGAGGAGGGTGGAGAGGGTTAGTAGGAGGTGGGTTATGGGAGGGGGAGAGGGGTAGAGTGAAATGGCATCGTCAACAACAAAAACAACAACAACACTTCAGGCAACAGGAAGCAATGACAATGACGCAACAACAGGAAGGAGTGACGCAACAACAGGAAGGAGTGACGCATCAACAGGAAGGAGTGACGCAACAGGAAGGAGTGACGCAACAACAGGAAGGAGTGCGCAGGAAGGAATGACGCAATAATATAACAAAATTTGATACTCATTAAGAGGAGGAGAAGAAAGCAAAGGAAGAAAAGGAAGAAGAAGTAAGAGAAGAAGGAGGAGGAAGATGAGGACATAAGAAAAGGAGGAAGAAAAAAGTAAGAGGAGGAAGAAGAAGGAAGAGGAGGAGGAGGAGGAGGAGGAGGAGGAGGAGGACCACACCATCCCCCTGATCTCAATGTCAAAGCTTAATTAGGCTGTCCCGTCCCGCGCCCCGTCCCATCACCGTCCTTCACCCGTCCCATCACCCCATCCTGCACCCCTCAGCCATACTGTGCCCCCGTTCCTCAACCCGGTCCCATCACCCGTCCCATCACCCCGTCCTGCCTTTCAGTCGTCCCATCGGTCCCATCATCCGTCCCATCACCCGTTCCCTCACCCCTGTCCCATCACCCGTCCCCCACCCCGTTCCCCACCCCGCCATCACCATCCATCACCCTCCCCTCACCCTGTCCCATCACCCGTCCCTCACCCGTCTCACCCCTGTCCCATCACCCGTCCCATCACCGTTCTACCCCGTCATCACCATCCCATCACCCTCCTGCACCTTTCAGTCGTCCCATCATCCCGGTCCCATCGTCCGTCCCGTCAACCGTCCCTCACCCCGTCCCATCACCGTCCCTCACCCTTACCCCATCAGTCAGTCAGTCAGTTAGTCATCTTTAAGTATTTTTAAGGCTCAGATTATACCTCAAGTGCGCCTCTAAATAATACATAAAGGCGCAGATTCTACCTCAAGTGCGCCTCTAATAATATTCTGTTTGGTTCAATTATTAGGTAAGGATGTTAGGAAGTAAACATTTTGTTGTGATTATGCGTTGTGGGGCATTCATATCTTGCCTCCTGCTGACACTTTACTACTGCTGCTGAACCTACCTACTACTGCTTCCTGCTGACACTTATCTACTACTGCTTCCTGCTGACACTACCTACTACTGCTTCCTCTGCTGACACTTATCTACTGTGTTCCTTTCACACTCTACCTACCACTGCTTCCTGCTGACACTTACCTACTACTGTTTCCTGCTGACACTTACCTACTACTGCTTCCTGCTGACACTTATCTACTACTGCTTCCTGCTGACACTTACTCCACTACTGCTCCTGCTGACACCTTACCTACCTGCTCCTGCTGACACTATCTACTACTGCTCCTGCTGACACTTCACTACTACTGCTTCCTGCTGACACTTACCCATCACTGTGCCTTCCCTGCTGACACTTCACTCTACCACTGCTTCCTGCTGACACTTATCCACTGCTGCTTCCTGCTGACACTTACCTACTACTGCTTCCTGCTGACACTTCATTTACTGCTGCTTCCTGCTGACACTACACTGCTTCCTGCTGACCTCCTACTACTGCTTCCTGCTGACACTTACCTACCACTGCTTCCTGCTGACACTTTCCCACATACTGCTTCCTGCTGACACTCACCACTGGCCTGGTGCTCAGCTCTGCTCCCACAGCACCTGCCTCCCTCCCTCCCCCTCCCTAGTGCATTTGTGGGTCATGAGGAGCCCCAGGTGGTGGTGAGGCAGGAGGTGGGTCATGAGGCAGCCCTCAGGTGGAGGTGGTCGCAGCCCCAGGTGGAGGTGGGTCATGAAGGAGCCCCCCAGGTGAGGTGGGTCATGAAGCAGCCCCCAGGTGGAGGTGGGTCAGAAGCAGCCCCCAGGTGGAGGTGGGCTGCTAGCAGCCCTCAGGTGGAGGTGGGTCATGAGGCAGCCCCAGGTGGAGGTGGGTCATGCAGGCCCCAGGTGGGTCATGAGGCAGCCCCAGGTGGAGGTGGGTCATGAGGCAGCCCTCCTTCCCTGTCTCTTTGTCTTGTTGATAATCATCTCCTCCTCCATTGTCACAAGTCGTGGCAACGTCTGGGAGGTCCTCTGGCTCTGGTCGTCTAGGTGAGGTCCTCTGGCCTCTTGCTCGTCTAGGTAGGTCCTCTGGCCTCTTGGTCGTCTAGGGAGGTCCTCTGGCCCTGGTCGTCTAAGGGAGGTCCTCTGGCCTCTTGCTCGTCTAGGGAGGTCCTCTGGCCTCTTGCTCGTCTAGGTGAGGTCCTCTGGCCCTTGCTCGTCTAGGGGAGGTCCTCTGGCCTCTTGGTCGTCTAGGTAGGTCCTCTGGCCCTTGGTCGTCTAGGGAGGTCCTCTGGCTTTGCTCGTCTAGGGAGGTCCTCTGGCCTCTGGTCGTCTAGGGTGAGGTCCTCTGGCCTCTTGCTCGTCTAGGGAGGTCCCTTCCTCTTTCTCGTCTAGGAGGTCCTCTGCCTCTTGCTCGTCCAGGGGAGGTCCTCTGGCCTCTTGCTCGTCTAGGTGAGGTCCTCTGGCCTCTTGCTCGTCTAGGGAGGTCCCTCTGGCCTCTTGCTCGTTCAGGGGAGGTCCTCTGGCCCTTGGTCGTCCAGGTGAGGTCCTCTGGCCCTTGCTCGTCTAAGGCAGGTCCTCTGGCCTTGCTCGTCTTAGGGAGGTCCTCTGGCCTCTTGCTCTGTCTAGGTGAGGTCCTCTGCCCTCTTGCTCTGTCTAGGTGAGGTCCTCTGGCCCTTGCTCGTCTAGGGTAGGTCCTCTGGCCTCTTAGTCGTTCAGAGGAGGTCCTCTGGCCTGTTGGTCGTCTTAGGGAGGTCCTCTGGCCTCTTGGCCGTCCTGAGGTTCTCTGGCTCCTAGTCGCCTGGGGGAGGTCCTCTGGCCTCTTGGTCGTTCAGGGAGGTCCTCTGGCCCTCTTGGTCGTCTAGGGTGAGGTCCTCTGGCCTCTTGGTCGTCTAGGGAGGTCCTCTGGCCTCTGGTCGTCTAGGGAGGTCCTCTGGCCTCTGGTCGTCTAGGGAGGTCCCTGGCCCTCTTGCTCGTCTAGGTAGGTCCCTGGCCTCTTAGTCGTCTAGAGGAGGTCCCTCTGGCTCTGATTTGCCCAGGTGAGGTCCTCTGGCCTCTTGCCTCGTCTAGGGTAGGTCCTCTGGCCCTTGGTCGTCTAGGGAGGTCCTCTTGCCTTGCTCGTCTAGGTGAGGTCCTCTGGCCTCTTGCTCGTCCAGGTGAGGTCCCTCTGGCCTCTTGCTCGTCCAGGGTAGGTCCCTCTGGCCCTTAGTCGTCCAGAGGAGGTCCTCTGGCCTGTTGGTCGTCTCAGGGAGGTCCTCTGCCTCTTGGCCGTCCGAGGTCCCTCTGGCCTCTTAGTCGCCTGGGGAGGTCCCTGGCCTCTTGGTCGTCTAGGAGGTCCCCTGGCCTTGGTCGTCTAGGGGAGGTTCTCTGGCCTGTTGGTCGTCTCGGGGAGGTCCTCTTGGCCTCTTGGCCGTCCTGAGGTCCCTCTGGCCTTGGTCGCCTGGGGGACGTCTTCTGGGACTTGATTGCTGGTTTTTCTGACGTCATAGCTATTAATGAAAATGACGTCATGTCTGGTACCTCAGCGAAATCATAACTGGTCTGTGTGACGTCAATGTGTTTGACTGTGACGTCATCACTGTTTAAAGAATAATATAACTATTTCTCTCTTTGTTATGCCCCCTTCTTCTTCCTCCTCCTCTCTATATTCTTCTTTCACGTCCTCCTCCTCCTCCTCCTCGCTGGGCAACTCTCCTCCCTGTCACTGGCTGCGTCCCTCACTGCTGCCTCTCTCTCCCTTTGTACTGCCGTCACCACGTCTCAATCTCCCTCCTTTCCCCTTGGTCTACCCGCACCTCCACACACACATCCTCTCCACCTCCTCCTCCTCCACCACCTCCTCCCTCAACCTACCTCCTCCACCTCCTCCTCCTCCTCCACCACCTCTTCCTCCACCACCACCTCCCTCCACCACCACCCTCCCCACTCCACCACACCTCCCTCCTCCATCACCTCCCTCCCTCCATCACCTCTTCCCTTCACCACCTCCACCACCACCTCCCACTCCACCACCTCCTCCACCACACCTCCTCCTCCACCCCACCTCTTCCTCCACCACCTCCTCCTCCATCACCCTTCCTCCACCCACCCCTTCCTCCACCAACTCTTCCTCCACCACCTCCTCCCTCCACCACCTCTTCCTCCACCACCTCCTCCTCCTCCACCACCTCCTCCTCCCACCTTCCTCCACCACCACCTCCCTCCACCACCACCTCCTACTCCACCACCTCCCTCCCCCCTCCATCACCTCCTCCTCCTCCATCACCTCTTCTTCCCTTCACCACCTCCTCCACCACCACCCTCCCACTCCACCACCTCCTCCCACCACCTCCCACTCCACCACCTCCTCCACCACACCTCCCTCCTCCACCACCCTCTTCCCTCCACCACCCTCCCTCCTCCACCACCTCTCTCCTCCACCACCTCCTCCTCCCTCCACCACCTCCTCCTCCATCACCTCCTCCTCCATCACCCTCTTCCTCCACACCACCTCCCTCCACCACACCACCTCCTACTCCACCACCTCCCTCCTTCATCACCTCCTCCTCCATCACCCTTCCTCACCACCTCCCACCACCACCTCCTACTCCACCACCTCCTCCACCACCTCCTACTCCACCACCTCCCTACTCCACCACCTCCTCCCCACCACCTCCTCCACCACCACCAAGTCCTCCACCACCTCCTCCTCCATCACCTCTTCCTCCACCACCTCTTCCTCCACCATCTCCACCACCACCTCCTACCCACCACCTCCTCCACTCCTCCTCCACCACCAAGTCTCTCCACTACCTGGTGATGGCACACACACACACACACACACACACACACACACACACACACACACACACACACACACACACACACACAGATGGCGTGTAAGGTGTTAAACCATAAGTGTACAAGATGACCTGCAGGTACCTGGAGTGCCACCTCAGTGCCACCCACCTGACACACTCTAGTGCCACCCACCTGACACACTCTAGTGCCACCCACCTGACACACACTCTAGTGCCACCCACTGTGACACACTCTAGTGCAACCCACCTGACACACTCTAGTGCCACCCACTGTGACACACTCTAGTGCAAACCCACCTGACACACTCTAGTGCCACCCACCTGACACACTCTAGTGCCACCCACCTGACACACTTCTAGTGCCACCCACCTGACACACTCTAGTGCCACCCACTGACACACTCTAGTGCCACCACCTGACACACTTAGTGCCACCACCTGACACACTCTAGTGCCACCCACCTGACACACTCTAGTGCCACCCACCTGACACACTCTAGTGCCACCCACTTGACACACACTAGTGCCACCCACCTGACACACTCTAGTGCTACCTCAGTGCTACCCACCTGACACACTCTAGTGCCACCCACCTGACACACTCTAGTGCCACCCACCTGACACACACTAGTGCCACCCACCTGACACACTCTAGTGCCACCCACCTGACACCCCCTAGTGCCACCCACTGACACACTTTAGTGCCAATCATGGTAGGTGGATCACACATCATGGGAGGTGGATCACCAGGGGGGACGCGCCATTGACACCCACCCTAACCTCTCTCCCTCTCTCTCTCTCTCCTGCACACTGTTCACCGCCTGCTAAGGAATACTCTCACGTCTCCATATTGTTGAGCAGTACGGGAGGGAGTGAGTCTTTATGTTTGTACCTGTGCTCTTGTTGTACCTGAGGCAACCTGACAGCTCTACCTGGCTCACCCATTATCGCTGGTGGTGGTCACGGGCGTCTACCCACCCTCCTCCTCCTGTCGCACATGGGCACCTGTCGCAGACCTTCACTTAACTTTACTACTTTAGCACTTCTTGTGCCATCTGCACCCCTGACCCCTCACCTCGAACTGACACTCCCTGACCCTTATCTGCTATTAACACACCTCCTGACCCTCATCTGCCACTGACACCCTCCTGACCTCGCCACTGACACCCTCCCACCACCTCGCCCCTGACACCCCCCAAGTGCTGTCAGCCCTAACACTGTTCCCAGGTTGGTCAGTGAGGCAGAACGAGGACCTGGAGGTGTGCGTCATGGAGTGGTCACCAGGCGTTCTGTCCTCCTGACTACCTCACCCTCCAGACCTCCACTCACCTCCCTCCAGGACCTCCACCTCACCTCCAGGACCCCACCACCTCACCTCCAGGACTCACACTCACCACCTCCAGGACCTCCATCACCTCACCCTCCAGGACCTCCCCACTCACCTCCAGGACCTCCACCTACCTCACCTCCCAGGACCTCCACCTACTCACCCTCCAATCTCCACCTACCTCACCTCCAGACCCCCACCTACCTCACCCCCCAGGACTCCACCTACCTCCAAGAGCAGTGTCAGTCACATCAGGTTTATGTTAGGGTCACATCAGGTTCATGTTAGGGTCACATCAGGTTCATGCTCAAGGGTCACATCAGGTTCAATGTTAGGGGTCAACATCGGGGTTCATGTCAAGGGTTCAAAAGTTTAAGAAATGAACCTTTTCCGGGGGCTCAGTGACATTTAATTATATCCAAACAGGCGAATTAACTTGTCCTGAGAGAGAGAGAGAGAGAGAGAGAGAGAGAGAGAGAGAGAAGAGAGAGCAACATTGTCGAACTTATACTCCGAGAGAGAGAGAGAGAGGAGAGAGAGGAGAGCAGAGAACTACCAACCCAACAAAAAAAAAAAACACTCCCACACAGAGAGAGAAAGAGAGAGGAGAGAGAGAGAGAGAGAGCCAGAGAGAGCCAACATACCTAACTTCACACTACCTGAGAGAGAGAGAGAGCTAGAGAGAGCAAATAACCACACTACCGAGAGAGAGAGAGAGAGAGAGAGAGAGAGAGAGAGAGCCAGAGAGAGCCAACATACTAACCTCACACTACCCGGAGAGAGAGAGAGAGAGAGAGTGAGAGAGAGAGAGAGCCACAGAGAGAGCCACATTACCTAACTCCTCACACTACCGAGAGAGAGAGAGAGAGAGAGAGAGAGAGAGAGAGAGAGAGAGCTAGAGAGAGCCACAATACCTAACTCTCACACTACCTGAGAGAGAGAGAGAGAGAGAGAGAGAGAGCCAGAGAGAGCCAACACCTAACTCTCACACTACCCGAGAGAGAGAGAGAGAGTAGAGAGAGAGAGAGCCAGAGAGAAAGCCAACACACTAACTCTCACACTACCCGACCTGTGAATTATAAATGAAATCAGAATTAATGAAATCGAACACAAGGACTTGCTTGTTAAGACGGCTTGGCAGTCCTCCCTCCTCCCTCTTGCCCTCCTCCTCCCTCTTCTTCCCTTCTGTTTTCCCTCTTAGTCCTCTTTCTCCCTCCTCCTTCCTTTCTTCTCTTCCTCCCCACCCTTCTACCCTCTCAGAAAACCTTACTCAGTTTTTTTTCTCCCACCTCCTTCCTCCCTCCCTTTTTCCTTCCCCTCCCTCCTTCCCTACAGATTTCACTTGAAGTTAACCCTCAGATTTAGTACAGATTTCTTCATCACGTTTCACCTAGATTACGTCTCAAATTTATCCAGATTTACCCAGAGATGTGACAGATTTACCTTCGATTTACCCTGAGATTTGACTTCAGTTTTTTTAAGTTAAACAGATTTACAGGATTATTGTCAGATTTCAACCCTTCAACCACTGAGCATCTCTATTTGTCTGTTGGTAATACATGTGTGTGTGTGTGTGTGTGTGTGTGTGCATGGGTGTGTGTGTGTGTGTGTGGGTGTGGATGTGGGTGTGGTGTGTGTGTGCGTGAGGAATGCCTTTCTCAACCTTACATCGTGTGTGTGTGTGTGTGTGTGTGTGTGTGTGTGTGTGTGTGTGTGTGTGTGTGTGTGTGTGTGTGTGTATCTGTGTGCACCAGAATGTCTTGTGCGTGTGAGAAATATATGTTGAATATGCATGTGCACACAAGTGTGTTTGAACATGTGTTGTGTGTGTGTGAGAAATATATGTTGAAAGTGCAAAAAGCTCTGTGTTTGAATATGTGTGTGTGTGTGTGTGTGTGTGTGTGTGTATGTGTGTGTATGTGTGTGTGTGTGTGTGTATGTGTGTGTGTGTGTGTGTGTGTGTGTGTGTGTGTGTGTGTGTGTGTGTGTGTGTAATTCAGTGCACCAGGAATGTCTTTGTGCGTGAGAAATATATGTTGAATATGTATGCACACGAAGCCTTTTGTGTGTTCTGTGTTTGAATATGCGTGTGTGTGTGTGGGCAGGTCGTGAGGGGGCTCTACTCTGGTGATCGCGCGAGGTGAGGCTAACAGTTTAATCACCGCTTAAGAATGTAAACCGTTATATAAGTGTCTTCTCGTCCTGTGTTTACTGATTAGCCCTCACGGTAACTCGTCATGTCCATCACGGTAACTCACGGGTCCATCACGGTAACTCACGGTCCATCACGGGAAACTCCACGGGTCCATCACGGTAATCACGGGTCCATCACGGTAATCACGGAAACTCACAGGTCCTCA